CTTTCAAGTTTCAGCATACGACCCGTGTCCCTACATCAAGATTGAGGATGGTCACTGTGTGCTTCTGCTGGTCTACGTAGACGACGTTTTGGTGACTGGTAGCTCGGCCGAGCTAATTGCAACCACCAAGAGCGATCTCAAGAAGCGCTTCGAGATGACCGACAGTGGCAAGTGTGCGCTCGTACTGGGAATCGAACTGGTGTACAACGCTGACGGGAGCGTAACGATGTGTCAGTGCCGATATGTCGACGACATCCTTAAGCGTTTTGGTATGGATGAGTGCAAGGCGGTGGTGAGTCCAGCTGATTTGAACTCTCGACTAGTCCCAAGCAGTGCATCGACCAAGGTGAACGCTCCGTTCCGCGAGGCTGTAAGTGCACTCATGCACTTGATGACCGCGACACGACCGGACATTGCCTTTGCCGTGGGATACGTTTCTCGCTTCATGGAGAACCCACAAGTCGAGCACTGGGCTGCTGTGAAGCGCATCTTTCGCTATCTACGAGGAACTAAGTCGCATGGAACCTGTTTCAAGCCTGATGACAAAGTCGATTTCCGCGGGTACTCTGACGCAGACTGGGCTGGTGACCACTCCGATCGCAAGTCAACTTCGGGCTACACGTTTCTTTTGATGAACGCACCCGTGAGTTGGGGGAGCAAAAAGCAGTCAAGTGTGTCGTTGTCAACAAGCGAGGCAGAACACATCGCGCTAAGGTTAGCTATTCAAGAAGCCAAGTGGGTTCACCGCCTACTTTGCGAGATTTTGACGGCAGCAGGGGAATCGGGACCAGAGCTCAAGATCCTCGAAGACAACCAGTCATGCATTAAGATAACCAAGAACCCAGTGAACCATGGTCGGGCCAGGCACATCGACATCAAGCACCATCACATTCGTGATGAGGTCAAGCGCGGTGAGGTCAAACTGGAGTACTGCGAGACCTCTGTGATGCTGGCGGACATCATGACGAAGACGCTTCCGGGGCCACGTCGCAAGGACCTTACGACGGCGCTCGGAGTCAACGCATGTTCGCATTGAGGGGGCGTATTGAGGGGTACCGGTTATGGCGGTAAGTACCCATAAACCGGTAGCCAAATCGGTCCAACACGATCCCGCGATGATTACGATACGCTGATTACGCTATCGATGATTAGTTGAGTAGGATGATTGGACGAGTGCTGGTGATTGGATGCACCAATTGATTGGATGACCTAGGTAGTGAGGACAGTGTAAGCTCCGATAAATCAATCACTTCGGAATCTTCCTTCTTCCCCTCAAGTGTCTTCGCTCCGGTCTACTCCCCGAGTGGTGACTCTTCCCTTCGCTCCGTACAAGCCCAACGTTGCCTAAAACCCGTGACCTCTATCATAAATCTCAGAGCGTGCAGTCCGGAAGAAGATTGGTTCGAGTACCACCTTCCAACAGGTCTTGAGCCCAAATGACAAACACCACTGACGAGGCCGCCAGCGTCGATGCACCCGCGACAACGCAGACACTCGTTACCGGCCGCGAAAGGATCGGTATGGTGGAAGACGCGAGAGATGAAAGCACCGCTGCTGCCCGCAGAAGGGGCAACAGCAACAAACGCGACGGCCAAGAATCGGTCGAAGGAGACAATGCATCGGAGCTGCTCACACTCATGCGCGGTCTCGCAGGAAGACTAGAGAGACTTGAGAAGTCTCAGTCAAATCTGGAGAAGAAGGCCGCCGTTGGTGGAGACGGCGGACGCAACGCCAACGTACCGATGACGCCGCCCATGAATTCAAGCTTGTTCGCCTCGGGCCTCGGACGAGGAACGAGAATGCACATTGACTCACGGGCTGGAACGCCAGAGACGCCATACGCCATAACGCCGCGCAGACCAGTGGCCGTGCCGCAGTATTTTGAACAACGACAGCCTGGTTATGGCGTGGAACAGTCGGAGCTGCAGCGGTTGTACGCGGCTGGAGCACAAGGAATGCAAGGTGCGCAGCCGGCGGCGCCGACACCCCAATGGCATGCTGGACCTGGTCAGCCTGGAGCGGGAAGGTTCCAAGTGCCGAACCAGAACCCCGCAGTGCGGTACCCTGATGCGAGGCAGAAGAGGCTCGCGATCAGGCCTTTCGACGGACGAGAACTGTACGTTGGTTTTGGATCTGGGTTCCTGGAGTGGGGCCGGGGGTTCGAGAGACAGGTAGCGCTGGGGCTGTCAGCGTGTGGGCTCTACTGGCCGGAGAATGTCAAGGCAGATCTATTGGGACACTATCTATCTGGAACGGCTGAAAGATATTACAACAAGTTAAAGCTTGGTGGTCACAATTGCCTACTCTGCAATACATCATGAAGCGAATGCTCGATGCGTTCAAGACGAATATCATGCCCGCCCAGGCCATGCAGCTCTTCACGACTTCGAAGGATCCGAAGCGGTCGTGGCCGGAGCACTGCATGTACTTAGTGGCTGTCTCGGAAGCCTGTGGAGGTGGAGCGGACTACCTGGTGCTCCACAACATCGTCCAGTACGCGTCCATAGCCTTGATTACGGTACTGATGGCCAAGGTGGATGGGTCGAGGCAAGACTACCTCCAGCAAGCAGAGGGCCAAGCCAGCAATGGCAAGGCTGAACGCATGCACAGGACCGTTATGAACATGGTCCGGTGTATGGTGTTTGCATGCGGTTTACCGTTAAGCTTCTGGGGGGACGCCGTCCAGTACGCTGCGTACATACTGAACAGGGCGCGCACCAGTTCCAACCCCGGTCGCGCGTCACCAATGAAGATGCTCACGAAGGAGACCCCTCACCTGGGCGAGATAGTGGTTTTTGGCTCGCCATGTCTGGTCTTCAGAGACCCGAGGAAGAAGAACTTTGCGCACCGAGCGCAGCAGGAAATGATCGCGGGCATCGGAGAAGAGTCAAAAGGCTACAGAGTGTATCTACCTAAAGACAAGGTGGTGGTGACAACGCAACACGTCAAGATCAATGAGACGCTGGATAAAGAGCAAAACGAGAATGTGCGGAGACTTTACCTCCGGGACGACGCGGCTGAGGCCAAGGAGGAAACGGGTAGCACGGAGAATAAGCCTGAGGGCGATCAGCAGGGCACGAGTGCTGTGCGTTCGAGGAGTAACGCGAAAGGTCGCTCAAAGAAGAAGAAAAGGAAGTCCTGGACAAGGGAACGACCCGTGACGCGATCAGTGGCGGGCCAGGCAAAGGAAAGGGCGGATGAGTCCGCCAACCAGGAGGAGACGGACAAGTCCGTGTCGGAGGAGAAAATGAACGAACCCGGAGAACGGGGACAGATCGGCAGAGACGCTGTGAACAGCGTCGTGGAACGTGATCCACGGAACTATAGAGAAGCTATGGGGAGCCAACAGAGAGACAAGTGGATGCCATGACAAAAGAGTTGCGCGCTCTCGAAGAGAACGGAGTGTGGGAAGTGGTGAAGATGCCGCGAGATGCCCACGTACTCCACACCAAGTGGGTGTACAATACTAAGCTGGATGCCGAGGGCGCCATCGAGCGCTTGAAGGCTCGGCTCGTTGCAGTACGGTATCACGGGAGGGAACGAAGGAATTTTGCTACACTGCACTGAATTTCACCAAGAGTCATTCGTTCTGCCCTCCTTCCTCTACCAGCAGCACTCCGACACGTAGCTACGCCAATGAGGTCGTGGAGACCCCCTCCAGCAATGACAGTACTTTTGGAACGTCACTCATCACACCGAGTGTGACGGATTCATTTCCTCCGTTCGCCCAGCCTTCACTGCAGAGCATGACCGGCTGTCGTTCAGGTCCATGCCAGCTCACGTGGGTGTCAGGGGAGAAGAGCGAGGGAAGTTTATTAGTTTAAAAATGACAGTGAAAAGTTAGATGAACTTTTGCTTTTTATTTTCATCAGGATGGTAGATTAGACTTTCCCAAGGAATTGGTCAATTTGTTCTTATTCCGTTTCCCCCTTGATATCCGCTTTCTACGGAATAAGAGCAATTTGTCTCCTGGATTTCCATAAACATCGTTGAGCTGCAGGATGAGCAGTATACAGGAGCAGCACGGTAACAGCAGCAGGAAGAATCGACACGTGTCTAAACCCGCCGCGGCACGCGAGACATTGCCGCCTGCTTCCGCTGCGTCCAGCGCTATCAGCACCTCCTCCAGCACAATGACCAGCCACAGGCGTGACCTGCTGGATGGTTCAATCCAGGAGATCTCGCGCGAGACGCTTATGGAGCGCTTTCACAAGCGCGGACGCGTGGAAAGTGCCAGCTACGAGAAGCGAGCTTACGAAGGGCGCGACCGGTCGGCGGCCAACACGTCCAATGGCTCATCCTTCTCCAACACAGACAGTATTGTCCCCATCGCGGTACGAGCAGGGCGAGCACCGCAGCATGGGTCGTTCTTAATGCACAAGGATACGCTCTGCAGGCCACAGTCCGCGCCTAATCTTACGGAACAGGTTTAGAAGATGCAAGGGCTTCCTGTTGGTGAAATATCGTGACTAACGTCGTGTTTGCTGAAATTCTTTAGACTGACGACAATGTGATCGCTCAAATCTTTCCTGATATCTGTCCCCGCGAGCTGCGGATTGCAGAAGTCAAGTCATGGGAGTGCCCATGGATGAAAAATGAGTTTCTAGTCTCTCCGGAACCTGAAGCAGCGTTGTTACAACAGCCAGAGTTGTTGTCGCAAGCTACAGCTTCTGTTATTAAAGGTGCTGATAACCTGCCACCAACCCTGATTGCAGCAAGCAGCACTGGTTTACATCAAACGGCGACAGTAGTGCAAAACATGGAAAACACGGCGAGAGAGGTGGACAGGGAAATCAGCTCACTGACTAACCAGCTTTCGCTTGAAGAGAAACGACAAAGACCGCAATCGCCACTAAAGAAGTTGGAATGGTCGCCGTCGGCAAGAACGCCGCCAGCGGTATCTACTCCATGGACACCGCAATGGAAAAGTGTTGAATCTGCAAGAAAACCCCCAGGTAGTCGTGCCAGCAAGCGCCCCCAGTTACGGCTTAAGCTGGAAGATATGCCAACACCTCAGCAAGCTGAAGAGCGCGCCCAGCGAGCTGCAACTAGACTCATTGCCAAGCGAGATGCTTTGGAAGCAGCTGCGATTGCAGCAGCTACTGTATCGGGATCAAATACCCCTGTAGCTGGACCTAGTGCTGCTCAGCAGGCGATGATGAAATTGAATTTTAGCTCAGGCTCAGAATCGGATCTTCCATCTCCAAGCGGTGCGTTTTGTTGGGTTTTAGTGAGGTGGTATGTCCAGGTCTAACTTGTTGTACGTCTTCTGAATCATAGAAGGCGGAAGGCATAGCGCTGGAAGTGCTTATTCTCCGAACCACGGCATGTTCACCACCCGAAACGTTGCTGTATCTGAGGCAGGGATCTCGTCTCCTGATGCTGCTTGTCTACACCTGCAAGAGAATCTTGAGCGTGTAAAAGAAATCGGAAGGGGAGCTTCTGGTGTGGTTTACAAGGCCATCCATATTCCGACACTGAAAGTAGTCGCCATTAAGGTTTGTGTCTTCTTTTGTAGTGTAAATTTATGTTACATCGCTTACATCGGTGGTTATACTCTTTGCACGACGAAGGATGTTCCTGTGTACGGGCGAGGTCAACGTCGGCAAATGGTTCGCGAGCTCCATGCGCTGTACTCAAACCTTGTGCCCATGGCAGATAATGGTAACCCGGTGCCTAAGCATCCTGCTCCCGGGAAAAGCACTAGCAAGCCGAAAGCAAGGTACGGTCAGCTTAAGAGGTGATACCACAGTGTGCTAAGGAAAACTATTGCTCGCTGTGAACAGGCCCAGTCCCTACATCGTCTCCTTCTACGATGCTTTTGTCGATCGCCCCAAAAATTCAATCTGTATGGTTATGGAATACATGAGTACGGGGTCGCTGCAGGATATCGTTTTGCGCGGTGGCTGTCAGAATGAAAAGGTGCTGGCGCGACTAGCCACTGGTGTGCTGCACGGCTTAGCCCATATCCACAACAAGCGGATGGTTCATCGCGATATAAAGCCACACAACTTGCTTACGAACCGACAGGGCGAAGTAAAAATTTCGGATTTCGGCTTGGCGCGCACTCTGAATGATAACTCCAGCTCAACGAAAACTTTTGTGGGCACCCTACTGTACATGGCTCCTGAGCGGATAGGTGGTGGAAATTATTCCTATCCAGGTGAGACAAGGTCGTTATTTGCGCTCACTTGCTGAAAACTATGCTAACTCCTCTTTTATTTTCTCTGCTCTCCAGCTGATATTTGGTCCTTCGGACTAGCCTTGATATCTGTTGCTCTGGGTCGCTATCCGCTTCCGACGCAGGATGGGTTCTTCGGCTTGTTTGATTCGGCGAGTTTAGGCTCATTGTTTGCTTATTTGATGTGTTTGTTTAACATTGTCGCCTGTATGTTTGCACAGGTTTCAAATGAACAATGTCTCAAGTTGCCAGCGGGGTCATTTTCCCAGGAATGTCGCTCGTTTATTTATCAGGTTCGATGAAGACTATCAATGAACCTTTTAACACGTTTAGCGGGACATGTGGACAGTGACTTCGGTGTGTATTTTGTAGTGCCTAACAATTGACCCAGTCGAGCGGCCATCAGCAGAAATCCTTCTTCAGCATCCTTTTATTCATAAGTACACCGCCGAAGAAACCTCGACAGAGGTAAGGCTTCAGTCAGTTAGTCGTATATGGTGATGTTACGATAACCATAACAACGTATTTGTGCTGCGCTTGTGCTATAAAGTGGGCATCGTTCGTCAACAGAATACATCTCTGTGAAGAACGTAGTAGTGAACTGGAATCTCTGAGTGACGCAGCTTACCGACATATGTATGAGCACTCGGTCAAGTTCTCGCATTTGCCACAGGTACGCTCATATTCCTTGTCTTTCCTGTTGTTCCCACATGATTTTTCAACTGAATCTGTACCCAGTCCGACTACGGCGCATCTTTCGTGTCACAAGCGACCCCGACGTTCTCTCGGCGAGAAATATCTCTTCAGCAAGTTCAAATGAGGTACCAATAGCTGTGCTGTGTAAACCCAACGTGATCAAGATAAACCTGTGATTCTATTCGCTTGCTTGTATTACAGCTTACAGCTCGGATTGGCGAACTACTTGAATGTTCCTGTTCACTTAGTGCACGAGAAATTCGAAGAGGTTCGTCGGCTAAGGGCACATGTATTTTTGAGAAATCAAGTTGTTTACTTGCTTGGGGTTGTGTACTGCAGAAACGTTGTTTTTACAGCGACAAGCTACTGGAAGATTATTGCTACTCACCACAGAGCTGGACGGCCTCACCTGGAATTGCTCGGCGTCAACAGTTTGGTATCGGCACGGATAGCCCTCAGTGCACACCTCGAGAAAAGGGTTCGTTCTGGAGAAAGCTTCAGGAGAGTATGGCAAAACTTGGACATAGCAAACGCAGGAAAGAGCGAGAAAGAGGGCGCTCCTCGGCGGGATTATAGCTCCGTTTTGGTAAGACAAACTAAGATCACAGTCGAGAAATTGAAAATATAAAATGCCAGCCACGTTTTGTTCTTGTAACTTAAGGTATCAACCTAACCTGTCTCTGCAGGGTTAAATTGAAGTGTTCTTTTGACCACACCCGTTGACTGAAGTTTTGCTACCCCTTGACACGAAGTCGTGAAGAGCTCCAGCCCTTTTGCATGGTAAAATGCTTGCGAACGAGCCAGCTCGCTCACTATTTTCTGCGATGACATAGAGTAAGAGGTTGCGAAAACATACATACTAGCCAAGCAATCAGCAAAAGCAACCGATGCACCTTCATTTTCTGCATGCGATACCGGTCAAAGCTCTCCATGTGTCTGTCCAGCAACGAATTGACGTTCTCCACTCGCCGTTTCTGGTCCGATAGCATCCTCAGCTTCTTCTCCTTTTCCTTGGTCGAGCTTCCTCGCTGCAATTGATTCAACAGTTAGGACAATCCACTACAATCCAGACTTCTCATAATCACATCATCACAAACCTTCAGCTCCTCATACTCCTTCTGCAGCTTGGCCTCGATCTTGGTGGCCTTCTCCCGATCTTCCAACAGTCTCTGCACCGCCATTCCACAATCAGATCTCTTCTGAGCGCTCTCGAAAGTATTCCGTACCGCACCTTCATGGGAACAATGGCCCAGTCCTGAATCTGAGTGACCACCTGTAAAATCTCCGTCTCGGGCCTCAGCATCATTACGTCGTGGCTCTCGCTCACCAACTTCTGACTGCACTCGCCCAGACTCCCGAGACACTGGGCCAGCGGCGCGCATTCCTCCTGCGCCGCGATGTCCTCGAGACTCTTAGCAAACGACCCTAGGAATGCCTCTTGTTCCTCTCGTGCCTTCATCATTTTAGCTACAAGCTCCTCCAACGCGCGTCCATTGCGCTCCATGAATTGCAGCTGAGCCGCCAATGTTCGCCCCCGATGCTCCATAGATATCACGTGGTATTGAGGATCTCAGATCCTCAATACCAAGTTGTTCGACAGTTAGCCACAACATACATGTCGCATATGTTGTATTTGTTTTTTCTATTTCCTATCTCAGTGAGATAGGAAATAGGAAAAAATGGATAAAGAAGGGTAAGCTGTGTAGAAGATGTAACAAAAATGGAGCCTCAGGAGGCACTGTAGTACCGGTAGGAGCCGTGTTTTGCAGCATTACACGCTAGAGCGAGGTTTTGAAGTGGACGAAAGCTTCTTACCTAGAAACTCGGTAACCCGACAAGCTGGCAAGAGTACTCCTCTCGGCAGTGAAAGGAAGAATTAGTATTACCTGCATATAAGTGCTTTAAAATACTCTACTTCTCCAATGCTTTGGAAAATGCTACTGAACAAAACAAATTGTACACTCGTCCAGAATGTCACACCTCTGGTATTTACTTCACCACAATAGAGTAATTCATCAAAATACACAACTGCCATCCGTCGTCGAAATGCCACCTCATTGTTGTTGCAATTATCTGGTCTTCTCAAAGTAAACGCGTTCATCAAGCTTAGGCACTTTGAACCACCGACAACCCCCCTCACTGGCACTCTCATCAGTCCACATCGGTACGTAGCGTTGTGCCAATTTAATTGCAATAATTTTCATTTTAAAGTTGCCCATCCCAATGACAATTATTGCACCTCAATGTGAAAACTGTATTAGTGGCTGCAACGAGTTGGGTTGTGCGAGCCCCAGTCCACCTCGGTTCACTAACCGGTCACCGCAAAAACAATGGTAGACGTCAGGCCTGAGTTATAACGCAGCGTACGGCTCCTGAATTCACTCTCGGTTAGCTCGTCCAGCTCTAAGCCATGGCGCTGCCTAGCCGGATCATCTACTAAGCCTGGTTCCAGCCTGATGTAGTCGACAGTGGATACCACCACTGCGTCTGTGGTAAAGTTTACCAGCAAGATATCAAGTCGGGCTATTCCAACCTGATGCAGCATCTGAAGGCGGCACACAAGGGCTACAAAGGTCTCACTAATGCGAACGGAACACTCCAGCCGAATATAACTGCGTTCCTCAGCGTGGACAAGAACGATTCGCTGAACAAGTGGGCCAACTGGATAGTCATAAAGTTTCTACCTATCGGTTTTTGTGAAGACCATCACACGCGTGCATGTACTAAGCTGCCACGCGTATCGAGACGTACACTGAAGGCTCACATGTTTGCGGTCATGAAGACGGTGGAAGAGTATATCCGGAAGCATCCTCCATAATCCTTTGGCCTCGTTTGTGACGGCTGGACTACGGCTGGTGTCCACTACATTGGGCTTTTCGCTGTTTTTACTGCAACGGACTCTTTACCTGAAGGCCGAGTTCTGCTCGCCCTGTCCCCCCTGAAAGATGAGAGTGATCTAAGTGCACAAAGTAGGAGTGACTTCTTGGCTGACACGCTGTGAATTTTCGCGTCCCTGGGCTAGCGTGTTGTTTGTTGTGGGGATAATTGCTCGGTGAACCAGTACATCGGAGATAACGGTGGCATTCCTTTTGTCGGCTGTGCTAGTCATAGGTACAGTCTAGCTGTTCAAATGTTTCTAGAGGATCACAAATACTTGATCAACAAGCCCAACAAACTCATGTTGAAGCTGTCAACAGTTAAAGGACGTGCGTGCTAGGCGTCAGTGACTGGTGTACACCCAAAGATTTAAACCGAGACGCGTTAGAGCAGCGCAATGAAGATGCTGAAGCGATGTGATAAGCTGATCCCAGCTCTCCGGCAGCTGAGTACGAAAAACGCTGTAAAATGCGGTGTTGACAAGCTGATGCTATCAGCAGCTGAAGCCATGGAGGTGTCAGAACTGCTTAAGTTTTTTTCGAAAGCTAGACAGTGTGACGGTCGAGCTGCAGAGCGAGACACTTACTATGCTCGATGCGCGCGAGCGTTTCGACCACACAACTGAGAGCTTCCCGTCGATGATGAAGTACTTGAGTGCGAACGCTTCGATTGTCAATAACGCAGTGTTTGAACGGGCTGTCGTCAAGCTTCAGTCGAGCCGGAAGCTGACTGCCGCTGAGAAGGCAGCCTCCGTTCGACTTCTTTCTCCCATAACTAACGCTCTAGCAACAAATGGCGACAAGGAGAACAGTGATGACGAAGAAAACATCTATTTTACGCAGCAGGCCTTGAAGCACCGCCGCCTGACAGAGCCCAAGGAGACGTACATCGACACCAACTTCATTCCACCTACCTCCAACATTTGTGAGAGACTTTTCTACCAGTCGAAGCTCTTTCTCACTGATCAGCGGCGAGCGATGAGGCCAGCGACACTGGAAATGCTAAAATTTTAAAAGGCCAACCGGAGCTTGCGGTAGACATGGCGTTGTAGTCGATGTCAGGAGTAGTGAGGCTGTTGGGAGCAATACAATGTCGACATTGGGCAATTATAATTGTGGCGTCCAAGCAAATCTCAATCAATTATTCGATGTAAATTGGCACAACGCTGTCGGTACCCTTACTGCTTGCACCTGCCAAACTTAAAACTGGCACGACACGCAATTCAATGCATTAATATTTAAACCCCAGACAATCTTAAATACCACGAACGACAGGCAACTCTCGTACACAACTTTCTTCCCTGTTCTCGAACAAACAAACACCAGTTAGAAGGTGCTTCCGCGTATGACCTTATTAAAGGCCATCCGTTGACGCGAACTCCGATCACTAGCTGCGCAAACCACCGCCAAGCCTCAATTGGGTACACAGTAGCCCGCGCAAACCACTCCGGCAATACGGCTTATTTCTCCTCGTTAACGTTTGCACATACATCAAAGGTCCCTAGTGGAGTGTGGTCTGCGTCCGTCCGTCCGTCCGTCCGTAACGGGCTAGGGTTCTAAAATGTAACGCAAATACGGGCGTTCTACCGGCTGCCGAGCGCAGCGAAGGCAGTCCCAATTGGCAAAATCGCATTATGTGGTGTACACAATGTGTGTGGTCTACACATCGTACTTAAAAGTACTGTTCAAATTTCATTTTGCCTCTGCGGTTCGCAAGGCCACGCAAAGGGCGCTGCCTGTGTGCGCGTTAGTTAGCCTTCGTAGAAGGCGCCGATGAGCACATATCGTCGTAGGAGCCGTTGAAATAATTTGTAGGCCCTGGTGACTTATATTTCAGCTTAGATTTGAGCTTTAGCTTATTGGATATTATATGATTTGTTTTTGTGCCGTAGTACTTCTGTAATAATTTAACTTAGAATACTGTTCTGCTTAGTACTATTTTAATAAATTTTATTTTATTGCTTGCAGACGTCTGTAGTAGTACCAATCATAATTAATAAAGCAGCGTTAGATAAAATAGTAAATGGTATTAGTAATACTAATTTATTTTTGCTATAGTATTATATTTGCTTTCGATAAATATACACAATTTATTACTAATTTTAAATATTTAAAAGCTTTTAAAATAAGACTATAGTGGTTTCCCCACCATCCCATCCCACCCACGCACACCACTCCACCGCCGCGAAAAAAGTATTGTCCTCCTTTGTATGTACAAGCGAAGAGTGCGACCTTAAGAGATTGTGCGCACTTTCCAACACGATACGCTTTCCATCCTACACCGACACACACCACTTCGCCGTTTAAGAAAAAACGTATTCCTTTGTATTTGCGTGTATGTGCGACCCTTAGAGGATGTGCGCACTTCCCAACATGATACGTAGCGTATAATCATGGCTCTGGGAGCCGTGTTTGTGGTTAAGTTATCGCGGAGGCATTTAATTAAACAAGAAAACACAACACGGAGGAACATTGAGACAGGCTATATACACGATGGGATAGAAAGAGCGACATGAAGCACGGCATGCCACGAACTTTGAAAGAGAACTAAATCAATGAAGGCGCCTAGCAATTCTAAAAAGGATGAACCACGAATGAGCACGCTACCATGGACACTTGGAATGGCCAGAACATGATGGGAACGTACGAACCAAGGAAAGTAACTGAAATAATGACACCCCAACATGCTGAAAAACACAGGCCACGGAAGAGCACGCACTTTGAAGCCACGGTAGACCGCGTGACGGTAAGGTGCACGGAAAGAAATTCTCCCATAACACCACGGTAGAACATGGTGCACAGTCGAATCAAACATGAACCCGCAGGAGACCATAAACGGGAGATTGTCGAGCATTGGAACACGATACCAGGATAGAACCGGAGCTCACTGGGGAACGTGATACTGCCATAGCTAACGAAAGCACGGACAACAGACCAACCGCGACACCACGAGATAGCACGATAGCATGGACGATGGGCCAACTACTAAATCTTGGGAGAACAAGCAGCCACGGCAGCTATAGACGGAAAATTAATGGACCACGGAGCACGATACCAGTCAAGCCTGAAATCACCCAGCCACGAAGAACGATACTACATTAGACCACGATTGCACGGACGGCGTAAAAGCCATGAGATATACGGGGGGGGGGGGGTTGGGTGACCACGATTGCACACCGCGGAGCACAACGCTATTGCAGAACACGATAATATACGGCAAACGCAGATAAACTACGCGAATACGGTAGTATAGGACAGTACTACCACACCGTGATTGCATGATAGCGCGAGAACGCAGTCGATGGAGCCACACCAGGAAAGCACGATACACGGGCGACGGAACAACACGACTGCATGGAGGCACCAAACCACTGAATAGCACCTTCGGCTAGAGTACCGGTGATAGGAGGCCTATGGCCACGAATTACTATGTATCACGAAACCGGTGCAGCCCACGTAAACGTTTGAGAATTGGGAATAGTTAGCAGCCACGAAAGAGGCCGTACTAACGTGCATGAACCCAAAAGAGAGAGCGCATTAACGGAAAAGAGAACGACCCAAGGAAGAGCATCGACGCCCACCAGTAGTACGGAGCAACGGAAGCGTACGAAACCACGATATCGTACACCGCCACAGGGGACTACGGAATGGTTGGTGTTTTAAGTATACGGCACTACATCGCACGGGGATGGCC